TCACGTTTTTAGCGTACGCTGGCACTTGTATGAACAAGAAATGAGCAAAGCTGGGATTTTAACCACAGACTCTAGTCAGTTAGGCACTGATGTTTTCCTGAATTGGAAACTGAAATGGGATTGCAGCTCTAGGAATGAGCTGATTCAGCCCCTGAGTTCAATACAGAGGCAATTAGGAATTCGTTTGTTTACTCTTTTTCATATTGTAAGTATAAATAACATTATCTTTCCTTGTTCTACATCCACAGAGTGTCAATTACTTTTACATTAACACTGGCTCAAATCTCAAAAGTTAAAGATAAACACAGAGTTTTTACTAAAGCATATTTTCTGTGCATAATAAAAATATATCAATATTAAAGCTGCCTTTGAGCATGTTTCTTTTCAGCTTTTGCACTCATCTGGTACTTAATGTTTATTTCATACAGAATCAAATTTGTAAATACTAACTAGGTTGATTTTATGAATATTAATTAATTAATCATTACAGCTGTAACAGCACATGTTGCTGTGTACGGTATTTTGCCACAGCTCCTGCAGTTTGATAACACATAGCATCTTGTTACCTTTATTACAGACAAAGGAAAGTTAATGAGTTTGTTGTTGTTTTGTCCAGTTTTGTTTGTTTACAAAAGAAATGCACGCTGTCAAGGCTCTGTGTAAAATCTTGTTTTCTTGTGCACAACCTACAGGAATCTCTCTTGCATCCAGCAGAACGTCGGTCATTGCACTGACTCTACCCCCCCAAAAAAAGATGAGTCTTGGCTTTTCCCAGGGAAACAGAGTTCTTCTCTTTACTATGGTACTTTCATCCTTTGATATGTATCTTTTCTTAACAGTGAGGGTGATGGAGCACTGGAATGGGCTGCCCAGAGAGGTAGTGAGGTCTCCTTTTTTGGATATATTCAAGACTCACCTGGACGCCTACCTGTGCAGCCTGCTGTAGAGAGCCTGCTTTGCAGGGGGGTTGGACTCAATGATCTCTGGAGGTCCCTTCCAGCCCCTACAATTCTGTGATTCTATGATCTTTAGAAAGAGATTAAAGTCTAGCTTCTGATTTAAATCCAACTGGTGACCAGTAATGAGTGGTCTTCCCCAGGGGCTGTTTAATATATATTTTTTTCTTTCTGGCTTTGGAAATATTTCCATCCTTTCATTAGAAGTATAGGTTCTCTAGTGAAAATGTACCTATGCAAATACTGCATCTCCTTTAGATCAGAGTACTTGTCAAGATTCTTAGGATAGTGCATTAGGGTTAGGGTTTTTTGCTTTTCTTCTCCCCTCTACTTTCAATGAAGGGAAATGACAGATTAATATTAACACTATTATTAATATTAACACTAATATTAATATTGACACTGGAGCATGTGCAAAGAACAGTAAAGCTGGTGAAGTTACTAGAAAACAAGACATATGAGGAATGGTTGAGGGAGCTGGTGCTCTTCAGTCTGGAGAAGAGAAGGCTCAGGGGAGATCTCATCGCTCTCTACAGCCACTTGACAGGAGGCTTCAGTGAGGCAGGTGAATGACTTTTTTCTTAGGTGATATGAAAAGATATGAGGAAATGGCCTCAGGTTGTACCAGGGGATGTTTAGACTGTCTATCAGAAAGAATTTCTTCATGGACAAGATGGCCAGGCATTGGATGTAGCTGCCATTGGAGGTGGTAAAGTAACTATCCTTGGAGGTATTTAAGAGATTTGAGTGTGGCATTAAGGGATGTGGTCTGGTATTGGGAGTCAGTAGATCAGGTAGATGGTTGGGCTTGGTGATCTTGAAGATTTTTTCTCACCTAAACAATTCTACAATTCCAAAACCACTATTAGACTTCATCACAGCAGAACATTTCAGATCATCTTCATCTCCACTGCATGGATTCTTCCAATACTTAAACTAAATTGTACCCATACAAATGGTTAAAAACTCACTTGCAATGTTTCTGTGTGAAGTGCTTTCTTCTTGTGTAGTGACAGCTGCCTCAAATGAATATGGTTTCATCATTATAGTTGGAGGCCTTGCTAACAACTTCATTCCCATTTGTAAATTTTTAAACCTGTCAGGACTGTACAGTATTATGATAGCATTGTTCATGTTTTCTTCTGAGGAGAAAACAGTGAAGCACTCTGTAATTAACTCAGTCAAGTGTAAAAACATTAAGAATGAGAATAATATTGCTGAACTAAGATTGCTGAGGATTTTCTGCTTAAAATTTTTTTCTAACTTCGCAGTTGTAGTGATCAGTGAGAAGAAGTGATTATACCCCAAAATATTAATGAATATTTTGAGTAATAAGTATTTTGAGTTAAGAGTGTCAGGGTTTTTTTCTGCCTATAAAGAATGAATGAATAAAAAAATCAGTGAAGATGAAATATTCAGAATAGGAAAATGATGTTTAGAAGTAAATTTTGGAAATTTCTTAAAAAGAATTTGGTTAAAACAACTGAAGGAAATTTGAGCAGCCTGGAAGAAACATAATGTGTGCCACGTATGAGAGAAGCAAGTAAGGAAATAGAATGACTGCATCAGGATAGTTTGGTTGAAATCTACTGTGACTCATTCCTTGCTAATAAATAACTTTAATTACTGCCAACAGTTATTTTTAGATGCTTTTGAGGAACTGATTTGAAACCTATGTAATTCAAAGAAATTCCAAATGGCTAAGTGGCGTTTCCTTAATTTTTAAGTAACCATGTGGTTAGACATGAATGAACTGCTTCTCTCTTCTATGAATATCTTTTGTTCTGTAACACAATGCTAAAACATATAGCAAGATCAGTCCGTGGAAAGTACCAGCAAGAAAGGGACCCATGGTCTCCCATTTTGTCATATGTGTAAATCAGGATAATCAGAATGTTTCTAGCTGAACTTTGGAAACTTTCCTCTTCCTTCTGTTTCTGCTCGCTGAATTCGTGAGCTGGTAGATTTGAGCCTAGATGAAACAGATAGCACATGAAAATGTGTTCATATCGATAAAAGCATTAGATGTTAGGTGGTTTCAATGATCTGTATTTTTTTCCAAGGCAGGGAGTTAAATTTACTAATTAGATGTTTGGAGTGATTTAGGCTAGTGAGGTGTAAACTGCTTGCATCTAACAGTAAATGAAGTTGATGCACAGCAGTATGACAAGAGGCAACACACAGCAACCAGCAAATTTCTGAAGACCAGCCCTGCAGAACTGCAGGAATGTTTGTTATTCCCAGCACTTTTGTAAGGAGAAGAAATACTTATTAAAACATAGTCACGTAAACATAAATGCTAGCTTGCAGAAAAAAAGTCTGATTCTAGCACCTTGAAATGTTGTTTTTCAGTTTCTGCGCTGTTACATCCGTGTGAACTCTTAAGTTCACATTAGAAAAATAAGCAGAAATCTATAGATCTGATTTGATGATATTGTGGCAACAAGCGTAATCTAAATGGTGCATAAGGGCAGAAGCGAGTAAGGAAGAATACATCTGGAGGAAGAAGTATGATTTCTGTAGAAGATGGGAAGCATTTAAGAGCACAGACCAAATCAGATATACTCAACAACAAAAATACAGCAAAGAGGATGAAGCTCCAGTGGCATAAACTATATAATATCTGACTGTAGGTGGAATACTAAAAGAACAATAAATTAAGATTTTGCCTGAGAACTAACTCAGTTTACAGAAGGAAAAGGTGATATCTTGCAGGCTCACTCTGACTGAATCTGAGAGAAAAGTCTCACTCTGAAAGGAGGGAAGTGTACATGTTCAATTCTGGGTTGTATTCGGTCGTGCATCAGAGCATTTTACACAAATCATTACTTTATTGTTTACTGGGAGAAAATGACATCTCCTTTACATGAGTGCAACTTCATCAAAATATGTAGTAGCATAATGTTCGCTGACCCTGGCCCATTATTTATAAATTGTCTGAATTCAGTCCAGAATCTGAAATGCTCAACAGAAATTGTGCAGCTTTTGTCCTATGGTTCTATTCTAGAGAACACTTATCCAGGCATCGATATGTCATAGATCTGGTGCATTAAGCCCCTGAAAATGCTCACAACTAACTGCAGATACATGTAAACTGCACACTGTCACTGTTTTTGAAGGTCTTCTCAGTACTTCTTCTCCTAGTGCTTTCTTTGTCAAAAGGGCTTCCATGTTTTTTCATGGGCTTCCATACTTCTTTTTGGTGAGGCAGCCCATCAGCAGATGGCATCATGTATCTCCACACACCATACAGTTGTAGCTTGGCACTATCACCTCTCCAGTACCACTGGACACAGTGCATATTGTTTCACATGCTCTTGAGGTGCATCTTCAATTTCCAGGCTCACACTGGTGTATGCGTGCATTGCAAAGTATGCACTTCAATAGAACTGAGATACGTAAACTAGTTGGTGGCGTTAGCCCTAAGTGTACTTGGACAGGTTCCACAACTTCAGATTTAGTTCAGTTTCTACTTTTAGCACTATAAATTATCTAAAATAAACTCCTTGAATCTTTCATCCATGACGATCAATGACAGCAACCGTTGAATCAGACCAGAATTAAGTACGAAACTGATACTTCCAAATGCAATTGATACATTTTTCTTCCCATAAATTAGAAAAAAAATCTGATTAATTTATTATGATTAAGCCCCATTAAAATTTGAACCATTTATTTGATGAGATTTTTGGAAAATGCTTAAGATCATAGGTAATGTAGGAGCCCACATCGTAACTTCACCTTGACACCTTTGGAAAAAAAAACCCACCCATTGCCTGTTTTTATATGAATTGGAGTTCATTTTAAGTCTGCATGGAAAAGGTTAGTGCAGAATGATGAGGCAGCATGGCTGAGTGGTTCCCCAGGCAGTCACTTGTAAACTGACTTGGAATACATCCAAACATGCAGACTTACTATTTCCTTCCCTAGAAGCAGGATAAACAGTCCAGACACATCCTGACTGCTTGTTGAGCTAAGACATAAGTGCACACATCCCCGCTCCCTCATACTACCCAGTTTGAAAGAAATCAGCGAATGTGCAGGAAGAAAGTCATGGTTTATTGCATTTTTCATTTCACTGAGCTTAACAGGCCAGTGTTTTATCCATCCAGCAAGCTATCTTCCCCTGGACTTTCACTGGCCCTTCTCTGTACCTCTCCCGATTGAAGTTTTTGAGCAAAGGTATCCATAGCTTATTTTAGTTGAAATTTTAACTGTTATCTTATGTAGTGGCACTGCTACTTCCACACTGCTCTGCTCCAGACTGCTTCACCCTCTTCAGGAAGTTCATATCTGCCAAAAAGAGAATTTAAGTAACTGGAATACGTTGTGAATGTATGACAGTTGATGCAGTTCTAACCTTACAAAAAGCAGCGGTTAATTTTTCACAGTTCTTGCTATAATTTGTATCTGTCATAACTAGAAACACCACATGACCTCACATTTCATAGTCCTCTTTTTTTTTTTTTTTTTGTAATCAAAGGAAAGTCAGTCAATTCTGATAATATAAAGTATCTAAAATAAATTCTTGCATTCCAAAAAAGCAATATTACCTACTGATATTTTTCAAATCAACTTTAAGTAAGTTTTCTAGAATTCATGGCTTCGGGTAAAGATCTTGAAAAAGTTGCTCCAGTCACTGAGTCTTCATGTATTTCAGGTGGCTCGTAAATGAGCAACAAATTACTTTTCTGAAATGGTAACGTTAACTGTAAAACAGTGATTTTTTCAACTCTTAGGTGAGGTTACTGGAAACATGAGTTAGTGTGACAGGAAGCTGCTGAATGTTTCTCTCATGTGCATTAGCACAGAGTCAGGATTTAAAGCCTGCATGCCTGCACGTACAAATGCAGGTATCATCGATGTATCTGGTAAGAAAAATAAATCATTTATATTTATGTGTGTGTAGTTATGTTATCAGGCACCCACTTTATGTATCCACTTGTAATATTTCTGCCAAGTCATGTTATTCTAATCACAACACATACATCGATATTTCTTACTAATGGCCTTTTCTAAGCATAAAATAAATCACTCTACTGGAGAACAGGGTCTGAATTCGTAGAAAGTCAATTCTTTTATTAGTGCAAATGTGTTTGTTACAGCTAGTTGTAAAAGACGACCAATCAGCCATATTTTTCAAATAGATCCATTTCTTTCTGTAGGGTCGGAGTAAAAAATGTATTTCCCAGTGTAGCATCCGATGCTTTAATGTACTCAACATCCTCCAGCAGCTCTTACACTGAAGGCCAGCTGCTGGGTTGGGGATAATGTATAAAAGCTGGCCAAATAAGAAGAAATATGAAAATATGAAGAAGTGTGAAATGAAGCTGGACATAATCTGGTGTGTTATCTCATAAAAGAGATGATATAAAACTAGCTCAGAACCCAACCAACTTTACACTCGGTGTAAATAATGCAACTTCCTCATCTGCTTCAGATGATGTTCCTCCTGCAACAGTTGTTGGCATTCATTTTGTCCTGATTGCATCTCCCTAGAAACCCATCACACCCTCTTTCTGCAGTAGATTTTATAACCCCATAGAACCCAGCAGTGTCACCAGGATCAGACAGGCGGGGATCTGTCAGAAATAGGGACACACAGCCAGAAGCTTCTCCCTTGAACAGAAACAAGACCCTACATGTCAGGCAAACAGTGTGGTCTGCCTGGAGGCTTGCAGGGCAGTTGCATGGTAGCAGCAGCCAGCTGGGTGCTGCATTGTCCTGTGGCAAGGCAGCCAAGTCCAAGAGCTGTGCTGCTAACAGCCAACTTTAAATCAGGGGCTGCACACATGGGTGAGGATGGCGGAGGGGCTGTATGAGGGGCTGTAAGGTTGGAGGAGTTTAAGGAGACAGATGTGGAGAAGGGAGCCACAGCGGATTCGTAGCTAAACTGCCATCTCCTGAAGGAGACCAGAATTCTGTCTGTATTCGTTTTGTTGTATTGAAAAGGGAAAATGCAGTTTAGCTGGGGTCTTAGCCAATTAAAAAAAATCACTCAAATAAAATGTGAATGGTGTTGCAGTAGGAAAATAAGGTCAAGAATATTAGCCTTATCAATCAACATAAATTGGGAAGAACACAGTTCTGGCTTCAAGCTCCCAACTAATTTAAATTTCACATAGACTAAATATATCTACATCTTCAAACAGTATTTTCACTTTGAATAATGTATCTCTTGTGTTTATTTGCTAACTTCCCAACTGTAAAATAGATATTTTAGCTATCTGATTCATTACCGTGTCATTTGCTTCAAAGGCATTTTACCTCTACTTCACAAAATCTAATTTTTTCATGATCGTATTTATGCTATGCATATGCGGGTATCGAAAGGTAATAATTAGATGCATCTGCTTACATTTGCCAGGAGCAGATGTTAGACAAATTAAGATGAACATAACTATCACTCAACATCATTAAAGAAGCAACTCTAATAATTTCTGAATTTTGACAGGCAGTTAAATATTCTGCATTGGCATATTTATGCTATTTGCAAAAATCTCATGTACAAAACTATCTTCATATGCAGCTGAATGAAAAATGAATTGTGTAAGTGTTCCAGGTCACAGTTTCTACTTCCATTCACCCTGGAATAGCAAGTTGTCAGCCCTGACAGCAGTGCTTATTAACACCGTGGGATAATCACACCAGCTCACAAACAGCAGAATCCTAACTGACTCAATAGAGTACTTCAGGAAGATAAGGACATAGGAGCCATGTTGTTGATTTGGACCAAAAGTTCATCCTGGCATGTTATTTCCAACTCTTGCCAATGGTGAAGGCTTAAGAAGAGTAGAAGAATAGGACTAGAATAAATCATGGTATATGTTTGATATTTGCTCAGCATCAAACTATACAACAGCTCAAGGGTTTCTGAGACCTCTGCATATTTCTGATGTCAAGTAGTGGGTAAGAGCTGCCCAGTTTAAACACATGCAACCGTATGCATATGTATGAAAAGAAAGAGTATTCTTTCATGTGTTTTGAACTCGACATCTGGTAATTCCTTCTGCTTCTCTCTGTTTTTTTTACAAATGTGGAAGTTTTGGGAGAGTTGGACTCAGTGATCTCTTGAGATCTTTTCCAACCCCTGAAATTCTGTGATTCTGTGATTCTGCGATTCTGCAGTTCTCTTCCACAACATTGATATTTGTACAGACATCTACAATATACCTCTTGGCTGCTTCATTTCCATGCAGAAAAGTCCCTCTGTGTTTTGTCCTGTCTTTATGTAGGACATGTTCTGAACCTTTCATTATCCTTTCTGGCAGTTCTTGGGACACTGTTATGCTCTGCCCTGCTGGGGATGAGAACCATAACTGCATTCAGTATTTAGTATGTAAATTCACAAAAAAGTTGTGGTACAATGATTTTTTTTTTTTTTTTTTTTTTAATTTCTTTTCCAAACAGCCTTGATAATCTGTTTGCTTATTCAGAATTCACAGAATATAGAACTGATCTCTTCACAAAACTGCTGATTGATAACACAACTTTTTTTTTTCTGGAGTGATCTTGGTTAGCTCAGAAACTACTACTCCTTTTGTAATTAGGATTACTTTTTTCACTATTTCCTTCACTTTCCATCAGTATTGAATTTTATCTTTATAATTACCAAGCATTCAGAATGCTGCTATCCTTCTGCATGTTTCATTTTTACTGTTCTGAGAAATACCGTAGCAAATATAAATAGTTTAATGTGCATCCCCTGTCTGTGCTTTTTATGAGGATAATGACTGGAATGGAGCCCTGAACAGAACCTCATTCAGGTCTGCTTCTGACCTCTGCTGTTGTGAAAACTGACTATTAGGTTCTGATGTTTGTTTCTTCTATTTTGTCTGGTCATTAATTCATGGCTTTGTTGTTCTACAGGGACCATTTGATGATTTTTTTATAAGCCCTTAGCAGATCATTACTGTAGTTTTGGCTTGTTTTTGGATTTTGTTTGGTTTTTACTTATCTTTTTATTTGTTTCTTCTTGTTTAGATGTGACTTCATATTTTTAAATGCATTTCTCCCTTATAATAAAATTATTTAACTGAAATACTGGAGGTAGAATCAAAGATAGGCTGCTTGGGTGAATGTAGGAACGGACAAAGTGATGAGGAAGGCCAAGGCCTATTTAGAATTAAATCTAGCTAGGGATGTCAAGGATAACAAGAAAAGTTTCTTCAAATACATCAATATAAAGAGGAAAACTAGGGAAAATGGGGGCCCACTATTGAATGGAGCAAGGACCCTGGTGGCAGCAGATGCACAGAAGGTAGAGATATTGAATGTTGTATTTGCTTCAATCTTCACCTACTAAGACAGCCCTCAGAAAACCTGTCCCCAGAGACCAGGGAGAAAGTCTGGAGAGAGAAAGACTTTCCCTGGTTGAGGAGGATTGCATTAGAGATCGTTTAGGCAAACTTGACACCCACAGGACCATGGCTCTTGTGGGATGTATCCATGAGTGTTGAGAGAGCTGCTGGACATCATTGCTAGGCTGCTCTCATCTTTGAAAGGTCATGGCAATCAGGATGAGTGCCTAAGGACTAGAAGAAGGCAAATGTCAGCCCAGTCTTCAAAAAAGGGCAAGAAGGAAGACCCAGTCAGCCTCATCTCAATCTCTGGAAAGGTGATGGAACAAGTAATCCTGGAGGCCATCCCTAAGCATGTGGGAAACAAGAAGGGGGTCAGGAGTACTCAGCATAGATTCTCAAAAGGAAATCGTGTTTAACCAACCTCATTGCCTTCTGTGGTGGGACAACTGGCTGTACAGATGAGAAGAGAGCAGTAGATGTTGTCTACCTGGACTTCAGAAATATGTGACCTAGAGGGCCCTCCTGGAGAGTGGAGGCTGGACTAGATGATCTGCAGAGGTTCTTTTGAATCTCAACTACGCTGTGAAATTTCAATCATTCTTTGTTTTTTACTCAAAAGTAATTTTTTATATACAGAAGCCCATGTTATGATGACTGTAAACAGCCTTTTCTTCAATTTGGAAACAAGTTTCTTAATTTTTATATGATTTACTTTTTGAAATTAAATATTATTTTCACAAAACTTTAGACTTCTCTTGGTTTTAAAAGATTATTTCCTAATTCCATCAGGGTTATGGTATTAGTAGTCTCCAGCAGCTTTTTGACACGTTACTTATGCATTGCTCACAACCAAGTCTTGTTTTGTTTCAAGTTTCACCAAAAACTCTTCAACGAATCAGTCATCAGTGGTATCATTTAGCATTGTATCACACTCCAACCTGACACTTATCCAGTCTATGTGATGGTGACTGAAGTTTTTCATTACTAATTTGTTTTTTCACTGCCTCTTAGATCTCTCTTGGCACCTCAGTGACACCGTTGTCATCTTGATTAGGCAGCAGTAATTTATTTCTATTATTTTTGTAGGCCTGGAGTTTTAATCCATACAAATCATATGTGCAAAGTTTTCTTTATCAATATATCTTTCTTTTTCTTGCCTATATAGTTTGCTTTGTGTTGTGTTCTAATTAATTGCTTGCTTCTATTAAATCTCTGATGTTCATATTACATCAGTATTCGCGCTTCCAACCAGTTATCCTAGTTCCTTCATTTTACTGTACCATTTCAGTAGCTGCTGGTTGCTTATTTTTCTATGCTATATTTAAATAGTATTTTTGAGTTTAAGATAAGCTCAACTTTTGTCCTATATGAGTTTTACCATCTCCTTTCTATCTCAAGGACATAAATATTTTATCATTTCAGCCCTTTATGATTCATCACTCAAAGCTAGATTTTTTTCTGCATTTTAATTCAGCCCCCTTCTCTTGACTTCCGATTTTACAGTCCCAGCAGCTTGATCTGAACTTTGTTTAGCTATACAGACTTAGCGTGTTCCAAAAGTTGTGTCTAAACCTTTCATCCTCACACTGATGTCTGAGAGACTGATTCTACTGCCAGCATGAAAAAGCACTGCTGAAACAAGAGCAGAGATAGATGATCAAGAATATAATTGTCGTATTCAAGGAGGCTATCTGACTATTCTAACAGAAGTGCTCTGCAGAATACTAATCTCAGGCTGAAACCAACATCATATAATGTACACTACTAATACTTCTTTTGGTCACCCAAATGCCTAATGGGGAACATGATTTCTTGCCTCCTAAATGTGCTTTGCTGTGTCTGAGGATCTGACAATGGCGTATGAATTAGGTAGGTAACTGAACAGTGTTTGTAGGCTGTATCTGTGGTAGGAAGAATCCAGCTGTTCGATAACTGGACTTATTTTGCATTTAATGATTGTCACTGAAATCAGCACATCCACTTAGCTCAAGTGAATGCAAGTAATTGTTCTGTAGGAAAAGTGTTAACAAATAGCAGATTAATTGTATAGTGAGAGAAAAACTGTTTGTGTCAGTGAAATATAGAGACTAAGTACAAAGTTCTCAATATTTTCACAAAGATGCCAGGAAAATAGAAATATCTACTTCTGCCCTTCCAGTTGGTACTATGTTAAGAGAAAAGCTGCAGTACACATCTAGTGCTTTCTGCGTTTGATCACTTGAAGTAAACACTGCAGAATGCATTCACAAATGTTCCTTTGTGCAGATGTCCTGTATTGCACATATGTGCTAGTGTTAGAAAATAGTCTTGTGAAAAATACATTTACCGTAGATAGATGAAGAGAAAAGTAACCAACATAGAATCCACAGCAGGATCAGTTTTGCTCTAAGTGTTCAAAGTAGATGCAAACCCCTGGGAGCGTCAGCTGTCATCAGAGAATTCTGCTTTAAAAAGCCATGGTATTAAAACTGGAAATTTGGAAGATCAGTTGTTAAATATGCGTTGCATGCTGATCGCTTAGACTGTACTGTTTGTGGCTTCAGAACTTGGGCAACAGCATAGCTTGAAACCCTCCTTACTTATTTCTGCAATGATACATCTTGCTTCCCTAATTACAAAAGCTATTAGCAGCTCTTTGCAGAGTGTTCAGATCACATGCAAGAGGGGAAACATCCCCTCAGCAAGCCATTTTCCTTTAAAATCTCTCAGCCTAATTTTTTAAAGGGCACTGGCAGGGGACGCTTTCTTTTCCACTTCTTTCACAAGCAAGAAGTTTGTGTGGGGGTTGAATATCACGTATGCTTGCAGTATTTCTTTTTGGATGCAGCATTTGTCTTTTTTAAACTAATTTATTTTGCATTTTTTTAACAAGTTTTAAGAGTACTGCTGTCACATGATCTGTTTACTCTACCTGCAGTAATGAGATTTTAGAAAAAGCATCGTTTTCCTTTTGACTTCCCATGCATCCCAATTTTATCGCTGCAGAATGTGAAATTGGACTTAACATTACTGATAGGGTGAAATAATGAAGTCAGGGAAGCTGGAATTGCAAGTAATTAGTCTGACAGAATGGACAGAGACTGAGCACCCCTTGTCTGCCCTGGCAGCCAAGACCTGTCCCACAACCCCCATGAGCAGGAACAGATAGTTGAATGCAGCAGGGCAGCTTCAGCACTGAGCACTGAGCAGCCCCTGGAGACAGAGTCAGGCCAAGGTCAGGATGGGACGTGAGACCATGGCTGGTCCCTGATTGAGGCCATGGTCAGGCAGGACAGGCCTTCAGGAGTTGCAGCCCAGCCCTGTTGTGGCCTTCCTGGGGCAGAGGCTGGTGGCCCTGGGTCAACATGGAGGTCTGGGCAGGCTGGGTACAGTGAGGTCTGTGTGTGCCCTCTGAGCCCACCACAGCCACACAGCATGTGCTGCAGTATTGATATGTACGTGGAGAATGTTTCAAGTTATGCATTGTAAAACCATTTGATGGCCAGTAGGTTCTCACTCACTTTCTCAAATGGCATTTTGTTGCCTTTCCTGAACAGGATTTCCTTTAAGAATATTTGGTGGCTCAGATAATCGCAGACAGCAAGTAGGAATTTGGGCATCAGCCTTGATGCTTTAGCACCAGTGAGACTGGCTGGTTCCCAAGTCAGAAAATAAATAGATTTGAAGGTGAGAAAATTTAAGATGTTTTGGAGTAAATATTCCTTTTTTAAAACAAAAAGTGTGGATGAGAACAGACATGTATTTCAGTTTTCATTCAAGTGCATGTTTTCCTTAGCCCTCGGCTCCTAAATATAGTGTTGTTTTATTTTTTAACGCTTGGGTGATTAAAAAAATATTACACAAGTTCTGAAGTTTCTTTAAAAAGGTCTTTTGACAATTCCGTAGTGGAAAAAAGACTGCAGAATTTTCAGCCTGAAATATGGCTTTCACTGAAGATGGTTTTAGATGGTTTTCATGTTCAGTGACAGCAAATAAGAATGGCACAGTTATGTGCTTTGAATACTGTGACCATGAATGCAATTGTGTACATACAACTATGGAAGTAGTTGCTAATTCCATCACTGCTGCCCTGGGACACCTTACAGACACTAAAGGGATTAGATGTACAACAGAAAGCAGTGAAGAAATATGACAAGTAGCGTCAATGTGTAGAGCTCTCTTTATTTCACTTTTCCTTCAGATTTTTACTGATATTTCAGGTAATGTCAAAGAGGGCTATAATGCAACGTATTTCTGGAAAGAATAACATAGAAGTGTGACATTCTCTGAAATGAGTACCAAATAGATCCCAAATTTTTAATCTCTGCTCCTATCTCATAGCTGGCAAGAAATCCCATAGCTTTAAGATTTTAGGGCACTAGCTCAGTTCTGTAACTCAGTGGTGGCACATCCCGTGACTGTGTAGGAGGAACACTCCATTACCTGTCAGTTCCCATCTTTGTAAGGTCAGCTGCTTCAATCGTGGGAACCAGCTGACAGCTAATAGAGGTTGATTTTTTTCCTCCCTGTAGGTTGTTAGCAGGATTTCAATTAGTGTAATTAAACGTACCTGTTTTCTTGAGGTCCTGTCAGCTCTAAAATAAATAAATTGGCTCTGCATGTAACAGGTTCAGTGTTCCACTAAGCCTAGTTTTATTTTTTCTTTCTGATAAGTGACTTTTTTTTTTTTTTTAGAGTGTATATGTATTATTAATCTCATTTTTTGTTACCTTTTGAGTGTATAACATAAGCATTCAAAAATTTTTATTCTTTTCCTCTGTTTTTTTTTTTTTTTTTTTTTTTTGAGAACTCCATCAGATGGTGATTTTTACGTTTCATCTGTCCATTATCAAGTGGGTTTTGATTGCAGTTTTCCACACAATTTTGGGCAGCTCTGGAAGGGTATAGCATGCTTCTTTTAGCTAGCTTTCTGCCAGTATATCAGAAGGCATTATATCACCCATGTGTGAATTTTTTGTTTATGTTAGCTTTCCTTTGATCAGCCCTTTGGGAATGGAAGCTCCTGGTTACTTAAAAGTCTCTGGTGTCGAGACCTACAATACTCTGAATCAGAGAAAGAATATTCTAAGCACTCTTCCCCCTACCTGTGAAGAATTAGATAACCTAGACTGTCTTCTTGTCCTGACTTATGTCCTTGGACTGAAATATTTGCAAGAGCCTTATTTCTGTCTCCATATTTGCCTGCCAAAGTTCTAGCCAAGTGCTTGCTCTCATGGCAGCTAGTGTGCTCTAGAGCATCCCAAGACTAGGATGGCATCACCATAAACTTACTATGTGTAGAGCTGCACATGAGGGGAGAAGCCAATGTCCAGCTTTTGAAGGGTAAGCTCTCATGGCTGCAGCAGGAACGTGCTGTGAGGCAGCCATAGGTGAACGCTGCCTGATTACTCCCTTTCTTCCTACCCAGAAGCTTCTCCTCTCTGATAGTGACCACCACTTCTCCCCAGAAAGCTGGGGAGAATGCTGCTGGGGCTGGTTGCTATGTCAACTATGTGTGCAGAAAGCCCAGTGCTGGTTGGTATGGCAACCTCCTCAGAGCGCCAAGAGATGCTCAGTGGGGGAACCGGTTCCTTGGAGATGGAAACTCCTGTGCCAAAGGCTGGGAGAGGACAAGAGTGATGCGGACTATCACTTATTTATTTGGAAAACTACATTTTGAAGCATCAAATGGGCTCTTCAAGGCTAAGTATTTCCTTTACCTATCTATAACTCCCTGTGCTTCAGTAGAAGTAGGAAAAAATAATGGTCACTCGGTATAAAGGATATGAAGATAACATGGATATACAGAGGATCAAAGTGAAATTAGTGTAACTGAGATACCTTAACACTGTACTTTCTTAACAGAAGGATATTTTATCCACACGGTAGAGAAAACGTGCCATGTTTTCAACCTGTCATTATTGTAGAGTTTCCAAATGGTGTTGGACAGAAGTCTGAATCAGGATCTCATAGGTGAGATAAATCTTTAATATAACAGGGAGACTACAAAATGTTAGAAGATGTTTTGGCGACAGAGGGTATATGTGTGTGAGCGTGTGTCTGTGTGCATGTGTCCATCTCCTTCACTCGAGTGCTTGTGAACTACTAACACCAGTCTCATGCAAGGTTCTGACCAGAAAGTTCTCTTGTAAAAGGCTTTGCAAAGCAATAGGCATTCACTGACAACTGACAAAGTAATATACAGTTTGTATTGGGAAAATCACAGAATCACAGAATGGCCAGGGTTGGAAGGGACCTCAAGGATCATGAATCTTCAATGTCCCTGCCACATGCAGGGCCACCAACCTCCACATTTAATACTAGACCAGGCTGCCCAGGGCCCCATCCAATCTGGCCTTGAACACCTCCAGGAACGGGGCATCCACAACCTCTGTGGGCAGCCTGTTCCAGCACCTCACCACTCTCATAGTAAAGAACTTAATCAAATTGACAATGGGTAAAATATAATGGATAATGTTTTTTCTATAGCGTGAATATTTTTGAACCTTTTAGAACATTTTGAATTCTCAGAAAAAATGTTTAAGTGGAGCTCAGACACTTGAATAGTATTGCTGGTAAGTTCTGACTTCTTAAGGCTAGCCATTCTGAATGTCTTTATTATTCATGTTTAACTGTAACTGAATTAATGTGTGCATGAACTATTTCTCAGGTCTTTTCTGTGTATAGTGGGGGAACAGATTTACAGCTGTCTTGTCATGCATAGGATTCATGAGTTTGGCTTTGCAATTCACTTCGGACTTATTGGAAAGAAAGTAACTCAATCATCAGTGCTTCTAAAATAGCTCCTTATACTGCAGTGGCCATATCTAATTTTTGGAATTATATGGAATGTAAAGGAAGGTATTTTTTACTTACATGGAAGCTAAAGCATGGATTTTCTTACATCTTTTTATCCATTGAATGAGTATTTATTTAGGGCAGCCAAAAAAAATTGTCTATTAGCTGATGTTAATAATTACGGTGTCTGGTGGTCAAGAGAACAACGATGTGAATTTATATCCAGATGCAAATCTAAGACAGGAATTTGCATTATCAAGTGTATGCAGGACTGTATTCTCAAGAAATAGAATAACTCTTTCTTTGGATAACTCTTTTTTATGTTTCTAGTAATTTTCAATACATTTATTTTGAATGAATAATTTATTTTGATTAACTGACATATTTATAGTATTCCATTATAATTATTAATCGTAGTGTTCTATTGAGCAGTCATTTTGAAGAAACGTTTTTATAGCTAATGGATAACTTTTACATTCTCAATACATAGCAAACTGTAAACAGTGATCATCAATTTTAGATCCCAATTTCTGTTAAAATGTTTTTAATTTTATTTTGATGAGCAAACTACATTTAAATTTTTTCTTTCCTTTCTGTTGAGTGGAGGACAGAGAGCTAAAGGTAGGCAACACTGTAATAGTACACAAACAGGTTTGTTTTTAATATTGCTTTCTATTAGTATTGACAGTTAATTAGTGGTTAGTGCAGTAAGGTGCTGTTCTGGAGTGCAGTGCAATGTTTCTGCCTGTCTGAAGTGAGTTAAGACATAGTTGTACTTGTATCAAGTTCGATCTGACAAATATAATGTAGGAAAGACTTAAACGTTTATTTGAACATAGTTAACTTTTATAACATTTGTGAGTATATAATTCTTGCTTAAGATATTTGGAAATCATAGATAATGCTTATGAAAAATAGCTATATTATGATCTATTTAAATTGCGCTGGATGCCTCTTTTACTATTTTTTTACTATTTTACCTAATTTTTTTCCAAGTATTATCTGCTATTTGAGTTTTTTCTTTTGTTTTTCCCAAAGGAAAGTGTGTTGAAAAAACAACAATGTATCTGTATTTCCTTACATTAGTGACATTACTGCAGTAGAACGGTCCATGGTCTTTGAATACATAAAATAAATCTCTTGTTGCTTGTGCAGTCAAGCTTTACCCATTTTGAAGACATTTCATAGAATCACAGAATGGTTTGAGCTGGAAGAGACTTTAAAGCCCACCCAGCCCCAACCTCCTGCCATGGGCAGGGCTGCCCCCCACCAGCTCAGGCTGCCCAGGGCCCCATCCAACCTGGCCTTGAGCGCCTCCAGGGATGGGGCACCACAGCTTCTCTGGGCAGATGTGCCAGCACCTCACTGCCCTGTTGGTAAAGAATTTCTTGCTAATAACTAAACTAAAATCTTTCATGTACTTCAGAAGCATCGTGTTCATTCTTCTGTCAGGGCTTTGAATGTTATTTTGTTGTTTTTGTTGTTTGTTTGTATCATTCTTGACCTGATTTATCTATTAGTATGAAGAACTGGAGAGGGGGAAAGGTGGACCTTGAACGTGTTATGGTATTGTAGGGAAAAAAATATGATTTATGAAGGTCTTTGCAGTTGAGGAAATTGACTGCTGCTCTGTGCAGTAGTTAGAATTTCCTAAAGCTGGAAGGTCTGTATCATCTTTGACAGAAGCTGTGGTGGGATTAATCTCTTCTGGCTTTAGACATCTACCTTCTTGACCACTATATCAAGGGTAGTCATCATAAGCATCCCTGAAGGAAGGTGATCCTAAATAAACTTTTTAGGCTACTTACCTAGGAGTAAAAATCCATTTTCTCATTTTACCTGAAAAAATGTTACCTGCATTTTTTTTCAGTCCATGTTCAAACATTTCATCATTTTCATCTGGAGTGCAGAAAAAGGAGAAAATTTCCTTTATGGGTACAGAACCTTGTAAATTGGCTAGTCAAAGAATGATATCCTTGTAGGTTTTAATATGCTTAGATTCCAGTAGTACCTTTGGTAGAGCTGCCCTAAAGAACTGGGCCAGCCTGCTCACTTATATTTGCTTGTGTAACCAGATAGTTTCAGTGCTGTTCTACTATGTTTGCTGCTGATGATTTTGTAGCTATAAGCTATCAGAACAACAATGATGGTGAACAAGCATGGCTCTTATTCAATTCATAAACTCCTTTCTCTGTTGTTCCCTGACATGGTAAACTTTGGTTAAATAAATAAAATGAGGGAATATCATTGCTTATATTATTGCACATATTTTAATTAGTTAATTGATCCATTCATTACCTGTTAGCATGTACTGTTTTTTTTTTCAAAGGAAAAAGGAACTTAGCCTAAAACTCTCCTGTGTACAAATGTACTGCTTCTGTTACATTTTAGTGCCATCTAGGTTCACTCCTTTCAATAACATACAGGGACACCTTATTTCTTTATTTCTGCCTTGCATTTTGTACATTTATACATAGTGAGCTTTATGTCTACTGCAAACGTTACAAAACTCAAACACACAGCAAATTCAAAATGTTAATAGAAACAAGCTTTAATTAAGCCCAAATGAAACTGGTGAAGGATGCTCATTCCAGTACATCAGCATCAACAAGCTGGTTGCATGGAACTGAGCTCCTCCTAACGGAGCAGGGCAGGCGCAATGAGTGCTGCTTGGTTGATGGGCACTGACAGTGAGTCCCACCACAGAGAGCCTCCAACAGGCACTGCCACACGTACTTCTGGGCAGTCATCTCAGATCTGCGTTTTAAAGGATGAGCTCCTATTCACACAGTTCCATGTGGGCTGCTTTCTCCCATCGCTGGTCCTTTCTTTTCAGAGGTTTGTTAAAATAGGAACAGCTTGCCCTTGATAACCATAATGATTTATTTGCCAAGCAATTAAAATTGATTTCTTAAAGCTATAGCAGCTACCTTATTAGAGAGAATGAATCACCGAATAAACACTGCAAAGTCTCTGAGAGTGAAAGGTGTGCTGGAGTTTCATTTGCTTTGAAGAAGAGGCTTTAGGGGCTGAGGGAAACAGAGTCGGATCACTGCCTAAAGTTGGGTTGTCTCCACATGAGACCCATTACAGGAATGGTCTGTTCCCAACAGTTGTACTTAAAAACCCCAAGCAGCCTTTTCCCAAACAAGCAGCAAGCCTGAGGGCTTTTGTATCACCAGCTTGTAGAACCAGATGCAAATGCAGGTATCCTGTGGTTTGCACACCTGCTGCTAAATATTTAAATGTGTTTGGAGATGGCATAAATTTCTCAGTGTTTTGGGAAGAGTTTTTTCATTTAAAGCACTTCTCTAATTTGAAAATCAGAGTTTTGATGACCTGTACTTACTGTCCCGCTTCTATCGTTGTTAAATACAGAAATATTATTAGACTTAAGAGCAGTGATTTCTTTGATTTTAAACATTCATTTCCATATACAGTGTATTATGTTTAGTTGTGTATTTCTTTTATTTCTTGCTTAAACAAGGCTATGTAAAAATGAAAATGTTCTTCCACACCTTGAAAACTATGTGGGAAAGAAAACAAAGATTTTTCATTTCAAACGGGAAATCTTGCTGTTTCAAGTGATTTTCATCTTTGCTGACACTGAACTTGGAAGCATTCCCTTGCATCTTTATACGTTTTGATAGTAGCATGAGTGAGGCATATTGTCTAAGACTTTTAGAGCGTTATCATGACATGACCTAAGCAACTTAGCATATTCTGAAAAAAACCTGATATTTTCAGGCTGAATCTTTTAGGTTTCTATATCCATGTTTTGGATATTAAGTTAGCTTAGTGATCACAGCTTACAGCTGACCTCATAGAGCTCTACTCTATGAAAGTTATGAAAACCAAGCACTGACATTAGTATGTATTAGATGTCGGCTGTTGGTGAGAAAAGCTCTATGTGCCTGCCAGATGCAGTCTCTCACAAAGGCACATACATAAGCAACATCTTGGCAACCAGCTTTTAGAATATGATTTTGAATATTGTTTTCAAATACTTCTAGTGTTTTTCAGTTCATCTATTGGTTTTGAAAATGGGGAAAAATGCAGTATTTTTTCTGTTACACTGTTTATCATTTCACATACATCATCATTTTTAGGTAATTTTTGGGAAAGAAAAGGAGGAAAAAGATAAAAGATAACAGTAAGAGCTGCATTTCGTAAGGTTTTGGAAATCTTTCTTAGACCAGAAAGATACCTGAATTATTAGAATCATTTAATAGCTGATAGGAATATTTAATATTTTGATTAAGCTTTTATATATATAGACATATAAAAAAAAAAATAAAGCAGTAGTGAAGTAAACAAGTGACAGAAAAATATATATTTCTTCTAGTCGTGCCATGAATTATTGACTATTTATTGTAATTCTGTTTCTTCTTACCAGGATTACACTTTGACTATGTATTTTCAACAGTACTGGAGAGATAAGAGACTGGCATATGCTGGCATACCTCTCAACCTGACGCTTGATAATCGAGTGGCAGATCAACTCTGGGTGCCTGACACCTACTTCTTAAATGACAAGAAATCATTTGTGCATGGTGTTACTGTGAAGAACCGCATGATTCGCCTTCATCCAGATGGAACGGTGCTTTATGGCCTCAGGTCTGTACTTTCGTGATGAAGATTTCACAGCCATTGTTATGTATTGTTGATATTTGTTTCCTGGTACAAGGTTATTACAAACAGTGTGCAGCGTATTATGTAACCTTCCCTGCAACTCTGAAAGATGCCCATAGAAAATAAATGACACAGTCAATGTTTCTTAATTTTGCCAGAAGCATCCTCAGTCAGGTTTTATCTGTTTATGTAGAGCTGCCATATCTGGAAAGCCCAGTGGCTACATGAAGCAGAAAGGCAAATATTAATTGTAAACCTGAACATTTTGTTCAAAATAGAGGCAGTAGGTTTGAATGTGTGTGCATATGTTCTCTATAGAGAAAAAGAAAGCTGCAAACAGTTCTGGTTAAATGGATTCAGTCACTGTTAAGACCATGCCTCTGTGTACCTTCAGCAATTTTTTGAAACAGAGATCAGCACTACAGTGTTTTATATTTCAAACCAGAGCAACAAAGCATCCTTACATTATCCTGTGTTCTAACTGTTTTAGGATTGGTCTGCGTTTTCTTTGTTATCTATCATAACTTTTATGAATAAAAGCGCCAGAAAATTCCTGCCTTAATAAATGTACATAATTAAACAAGCAAAAAAGCTTGATGGAACACTCAGTGGTATAAAAAAATTCCTTTCTTTGGACAGGTCAATTCTGTATGCTCTGGTGATTTGCACAATACCAGCAAAACAAGTCTTTGGCAATGTAAGCTTTGTTTCCATCACAGGAAGTTTCTTGCATTTTTAATTGTGGGACAAAGTATAAAAATGAATGAGATTTGAAATGTGCTGCAGATGGATTAGATTTACAGTATCAGCATTTTACCTATTTTGTTTTGTCTTTTTTATCAGTGGGTGAGCTCTTTATCTGACTTGGGTCTTGGTCAATCACCTCTAACTCCTTTTATATTATAGCCCATACATCTATAGACAGCATTGAAACAAGACAAAATAAAAACAGTCTCAACCTAGTAGGAAGTTTCAAATAAGCTCAGTATGTTCAGAAAATGTCTTTAAAATTAAGCAAAATGAGCTTTTCATTTTGTGTACTTTATATGCAATATTGAACACTGCAAGCATAGGATTCTTTTCACAGGTAGTTAAATATCAAAAAAAGATGCAAGATATTGTTGTTTTTATTACTGCATCTCAAGAATCATCCCCAAAAGCAAAGTAATAAAAAATAATGGAGTTTAGAATCCTTGTGGTCATAATAATGTATAAAAGTATCTCTGCCACGTTCTAAAAATATTTGGAGTCATCCAGATAAGGATTTTCTGTTAAGCTATATTTGAATAGGCTAGCTTCCAGTTCTGCAAAATGGAAATATCCAAACATTTGACTTGATTGTACTCTCTTGACAGGGATTTCAACAGTGTCTCATGTGTGGCAACGTTCTTTACAAACTCTCAAACAACATGCAGCATTTGTGGTCAGATTTTGCTGAGTGTGAAGCAGCTGATTTACTTAATGAAGAATTACTGTCTGAAATCTTGGCAAAATAAAGAACACTTCGATCAGATGGAAGAAAATATCTAACCCTTAGCTCTCCTAATCCAAAGAGCTCAGTTTTATGTTGCTCTACCACTAGCTTTTCTTCTTGCACTGTGGTTTGAGAGCATCCTGGTGGCCTTGGGTTTCAAGGTGCAGTCTGGAGACAGTGATTCATCCTGTGGGCTGAGACCAGAACCTGGAGTTTTATGTGCCACAAAATATAGGGTCATTGAAAATAATAGGGGAAATTTTGGAGAGTTGCAAACAATCATAGAATATCCACAGAGCAAAGCAGTTCCTCAAAAGAAATGTAGCAGAAGTGATCCGTAGGCTGCGAGGGCTCTGTGTTCTCTTCTGAATAATGCAGAATTTATCATACTTTTGAAATGCTTGACCTTCAGTTATCCAAGTTTTATGTCTACTTCAGAAAAACACAGTTTGCTACTACTGCAAAAGTCTATGAAGATGAGGGAATGGATCTCTAGCCTTTTGGAGTATAACTTGTTTATGGGGAATTTCTTTGAGCATCATACTAATTTTTTCCCACCTTGTTCAGAACAATAGACAAACTTAGGACTGTACAGTGGCTTTTTCCATAATAGATCAAAATAGAAACAATGGCATTATAGACTGACAATTAAAAGCAGTCTTTTCCACTGCTTGTACATTTGTCATATGTAGACTTCTTGTTCTCAGGTAATACAGTGTTAATAAACAAATGGAGTGGAGGAATGCATTTATTTTATATGGAAGGCATCACATAGTTATCACCCAAGCATAAAACATGATAGATGTTCACAAGATGGAAAAGTTAGTTGTGATTGGTCAGATGTTGCAGCTGGACTTTGTTCTTTTTTGGATGAATATACTTCTGAATTAAGATAAAGAGAGGATCAAATTATCTGTTAGTATTTGTATCACATAGACTGATTTATATTGTAAACTTTTGGGGTACAGAGAGCATTCTTCTGTTGTTTATGCAGCACCTCCTAGAACATCAGAGATGGTGTCCCTGCACAAACTACCAATATATTAAAGGTGATCAGTTCAGGGCCACTAAGATGATAAGAGGGAAGGAGTACCTCTGCAGTGAAGAAAGGTTGAGGGAACTGGGTTTGTTTAACTTAGAGAAGACTGGGAAGACCTCACTGGGGCCTTCCAGTACTTGAAGAGAGCGTATAAACAGGAGGGGAAATGGCTGTTTATGAGAGCGGATAGTGATAGGACGAGGGGGAATGGTTTTAAACTGAGACAGGGGAGGTTTAGGTTAGATATTAGGAGGAAGTTTTTCACACAGAGGGTGATGATGCACTGGAGGTTGCCAAGGAGGCTGTGGATGCCCCATCCCTGGAGGCATTCAAGGCCAGGCTGGATGTGGCTCTGGGCAGCCTGGTCTGGTGGTTGGTGAGCCTGCACATAGCAGGGGGGTTGAAACTGGATGATCGTTGTGGTCCTTTTCAACCCAGGCCATTCTATGATAAAGTAACAGGGAAGATAAGAGAAGCTATATCCAGAGGACAGATAGTCAGAATGGAGAATTTTAACAAATAAAGATATATTATGTTTATATCTTCCAAACAAAATATATGTGTATCTGTGTTCAGCTTTATCTTTATCTGGCTTGTAATTGTTTTCCTGTCACTGCTGTAGTGATGACTTCTTGAAATCTTGTTGTCCTGCTGTGTAAGGAAGCTTCCCATCCCATAAATAATAAACCTTTTCTTCTTGGTAGCATGCACAAGTTTGAGCAATTAGCATTTGCTTTTGTTGAGCATTTGTGCAAGTTAAATTTGGTTGCTTGAAAGTTCATTCAGAAGGGACCTCTAAGCACTCAAGTTACTTTGAGTAAATGTGCTAAACCTATTCCCTTCTAACTGTATATTTTTGTTTGTATGTTTCTTACTGGTTATTTATGAAATTAAAATCTTACATACTGCTATAGTGTAAAAAGATGCTTGAGTGGGAGTGTGCAGATTCTTGTGTAGAACCAGGGCATCTCCCAGCAGACAGCTGGAGGTGGGTCGACCTGAAGTCATCCTGTAATACAATACCTGATACCTGAAAGCTTATGGGACTTAATATAAGGGCAATCTGAGGGCACATAGAATGGACAGCAGTGGCAGAGGCATAATCCTGCCCTAGGCTGAGAGGGACAATGATCCGATGTGTGCCTTTCTCACTGTCTGCTGGTAGGGACACAAATGAAAATATATCCTTGAGGTTTTTTTTTGTTGCTTGACCTACCCATTGCCTTTCTGCCCATACGACTGTCTCTCCCCATACAAAGAAATTAGAATGCATTCTTACAAAATCATCTTCCACAGTCATAGAGGTGTGACTTCTACTGTACTGTGAGATGGTTGTAGGGGATATTGCAACTCCCTTCCCTTGGATATTATGTGAAGTTATCTACCTGAAATAAGCTATTTGCTAAGGGCTTTTTATTATTTTTATGTGCATGAGAGTTGAATAAAAACAACTAACTACTACTCTCATCTGTAAATGCTGCCCATGAATTTTAAACCAGTTTACCAAACTGTCATTTCAAAAGCCTGAGGGATGAAACAGAAAGTTCTGAACAGAGAAAGCACATGGACAAAACTTAACATTGAGCATCCTATCTTTTCAAGGAGCATTTAATGCATTTTCCCTTCTGTGTCATTAGCATAAATTATCACCAGAATATTATTTGTTCAAAAATTAACTGTGTACAGGGTCCATGCCCTGTTTAAATTAGAAAAGGATCAGTAAAGAATGGACCTAATGAGGCCCAGAAAATAATGTGAAATTTATATAAGGGCACTAAAAAGAGATTGATAAGAGATAATCCATAAATTTATGATGATGACTATGACTCAGCAATATTCTGAAATACACTGGAGGTTAATCACAAGTTAGTGCACATAGCTGTATCTTTCTAAAACTTAGTAAAATTAAGTAAATCCATTAATTCCAAAAGAAAGGCCAGATGCTGTGTGAATCTCTTAATAAGTTGTTTTGGTCGTGCGTGTGCGTGTTGCTGACACTCTTGGTATAGAAGAGTTAGATTAAAAATGCAGATTCATCAGTAGTGAAATGGTTTAAAAATTCATCATTAGTGTGCTATATTGCCAGCACTGGAAATAAAAAAACAAAACTGTATTCTGAGTTGGGGGAAAACTGAAAATAAAATATAACATTTCATTGCAAAATCTCTTTTAATTTACTTTTGAAAACTGGAGAAATAAACTGTACTTTAAACCAAAGCGTTTTGCTGGACTTGCAATGTTTTTTCAACATTTCAGGCTTTTTTTCTCCAGCTGCCACAGAACCAATAAATGGGTTATTCACACAGCTCTTATAATTTTGACATTTGTAGCAGACTTTTATCGCCTCATGTTTTCTGATATAGAGTCATATTCTTTAATCTCAGCAAAGGTTTTTGAAATATTTGCATATGCAGATAGGTTCATTGAGCCCCAAAGGGGCTAGTCACATGAGTGTAAGTCTGTATTTCTGTTGAGGTCAGTGTATCTGCTGTTGTTGTAAGCTGCTGATCGTTGTAAAAGTATGGACCAGATTTTTGATTATGGTAAAGCTATTCTTCAAAGAGTCCTCCTGTGAGAAAAAAAAAAAAAAGAAAAAAAAAAAAAAGGATTAAAAGCTGTATAGCAATTCTATTTGGTGTTTGTATTTCAGAATCACAACCACTGCAGCTTGTATGATGGACTTGAGAAGATACCCGCTAGATGAGCAGAACTGTACTCTCGAAATAGAAAGCTGTACGTACATGAGAAAAGATGCATGTAAAACTTGGCACAGATGTTGGGTAGTTTTTTATTTATACAAATATAGAATATTTGCACTGGTGTCTGTAAGCACGGTGTGAATCAAGTAATTATCATCTGTACTTTTGTTCATTTATTTGACCTTTTAAACAGAAAGATTCATACGTTTCTACGGAAGGATCCATCCTAGGAAAACAGGTCCAGGACAGAATGCTGCAGTTTGTTGTTCCAGCCTGAGTTAGCAGAGCCACTGACTGGATGCTTATTGTAAACACAAGAGAATGAACATTCATATTTTAATCAGATTCATTTTAAAGAAGGAGATCACTATGATATTGTTTTCTTTCAGCGTGTTTTCTTTTATGCATGGATAGTCTTGCTGCAGGACCCCCTGGGCTCTTAAATCAGCTCCATTTATGGTTTGTAGGTCTGTTCCACACAGAACGAGACTCACTTTTCCACCTAGTCATGTCCTAGAACTGCAATATTCAGATATATGTTTCTGCTTCAAGGGTTCCTACTCCATCTCTGCTACTGGCTGGAGACTGTGCTAGTACATGCTCTATATATTCAGCTGGGGTCCTCCACTGCAGAAGCTAATGGAAACAGTGTGACTCACACCCTTCAGTGTGAATGGAAAATATCTGCCCCAGCTATGTTTGTATTTATAGAATAATCCACATTTTTTCTGGTGATTACTGATATAAATATGCACTTGTTATCAGTCTAGATGTGTATGATGTCTTAAATCAGACTGATCTGTGATTTTGCAATCCCTGGAAGTGGTAATGAGTGGTATTTTCTGTCTTATAGGGGCCATTAATCCTAGTGTGAATTATATAAGAATGATAGAAAGAAAGGAAAAAAAAAAACAACATTATTTTGCCTCAAACTCCTGTGCAGACTGTAATGCAAGCACATCTTCAGGAGAGATTTAGAACAAAAATTCATACACTGGTCCAACTGTTCTGATTCTTTCCATTGCCTCAAAGGACAGACCATGTGTACTGTGTTTGAAGCTCTTCTCCTGTCTGCTGTTGTTTCTCACTTGCTCTCCTGCCTGGCCTGCAGATGGCTACACGACTGATGACATAGAGTTCTACTGGAGAGGTGGAGATAATGCAGTCACCGGCGTTGAAAGGATTGAGCTTCCTCAGTTCTCCATTGTGGAATACAGACTGGTGTCCAAGAATGTTGTCTTTGCCACAGGCAAGTATTATCATTTGCCTACTCAGTATTTAATTTTCTTCTGTATGACAATTACTGTTTTATTAATCATTGTTGTATATAGTCTTAGAACTGTGTTGTGTGAGTGGCTGAAGAAATGACTCAATAAAGCCTGGAGGCAGGAGCCCATGAAATAGCATTCCTTGTTTCATTTTTCTTTTTCTTTTGTGTGCATGTGTGTCATACTTAACCATACGCCTAAATGTGTATGATCTAAATAAATATGAAGTCATTCACCTCTGAATCATCAGTTTAAAAGATGTAGCCTACAAGTTTACTGATCGTACCAAAGTATGTTGTGGCATATTAGATTTAAAAAACACAGTTTTGATGAGTGCCTTCCTACAGCTTTTCTGTGCATGTTTGTTTTGCTGTCGTATAGAGAATTTACATTCATGGTTTTTTTAATCATTGTTTGCACTGATCAGTATATGGTAATGTGTACATAGCTGATGCTTTTGTGGTATCTGTTAAGATGCTAAAATGTCATTCCTAGGTTTCCTGCTTCTTTTTTCCTTGAAGGTGGAATACAGTTTGCTGGTAACTCACAGCACTGGATGTTTTCAGGTGACAAAGTACAACACTGATTTAGACATTTAATGTTCGGTACCAGCAGAGAAAATGTTGCTATGTGTGTGTGACAAGATTAAAGCAACACAGAAAGCCTTCAGCAAGTTTGGGAGCACTACTGGGACCTCCAGATTTTCTGTCCTCTTCAGACCATAGAAATGTGTTCTTCTGTCTGTCCCAGTGCAGTAGAACAAGTGAAGCATAGTTCTGTGATGTTTGTAAGCATCACTTCACCCACTCTATGGTCACAGCATCTGAGTACACAGAAACATGAGTTATATTTCCATACAAAATGTACACATTGCTGGGATCGAAATTATTATGATGGTTTTCCTAACTGCTGCTCGTTTTGTTTCTCATTGTGTATGGGAGGCTGTTTTTTGATGGCTTTTTTTTTTCTTTTCTTTTCTTTCTTTTTTTTTTTTTAAGGTAAACAGATACTCTGATCATAAATCACTCTTTTTTGCAACCAGTGTCACCTTTGGCAGCTAGGGTTTATCTGCCCTTCCCCAGGACTGGATATGCTTTTCTAGAATGTCTCTTTTGGACAACAATGAGTATACAGAGAAATATATATCTGGGAAGTTTTTATAATCTTCAGTCTGAAGCCACCTTTCAGTTCATTGTGATATGTTTCAGTAATGACATGACTAAGTAATTCAGAGATTAAAGAGATTTGTTAAATTCATGAAAAAGAGAATTCTGAAGAGCTGTGAGAAAAATGTGTGAGAGAATGAAAACTATGGGCAGGCTTTTGTGTAACTGACCAGTTATTCAGACTTGTAACAGTTCTTTTCAACAAGTTTGTGGAGGAGATAAAAAAAAAAAAACTCGTGTCTCAGAATTTAAGACAGCTTGACATTAGGGAGTAAAAAGAGACAATCAAGAAGAACAGATTACTCCGTTTCTTGTACCATCTTCTGAAGCATAAAATTTTTGTCATTGATGGAGATAGAATACTACATCTACTGTTGTTTTGGTTTTGGACATTATGAAAAAACTTCATTGATCATGAACTTTTATGAACTTTCATGTCAAATATTTCCATTGAAAGGAATGAGCACATTTGTTTCTCAGAACCTCGTCCCTAATTCTGATACTAAATCTGATACTAAATCTAAAACATTCCAGTGAATCTGACCGATAAAGTCAGCACACTTTTGAATTTCTTCTCAAGACCAAAATTCCTATGTTCTGATTTGTATATTTTTGTGGAAAATCTGTTAGGCTTGGGATGTTTTGGCTTTGAGATACAACACCTGTGCAACTAATTCTTTCTATCCAAATTCAGGCTAGGAAATACCTGGTGAGACTAGAGTTATCTGCTTGGAAGTCTAGGGTCTACTGCTGATCTCAGACTGAACATGAACCAATAAGATCTTTTTGGCGGAGAAAAAAAACCCAAAAACATCCTTATGTGGTGTCTGACATGCATTGCTTGAGCTGACTGTTTTTGATAGAGTTCTTCAAGAAAGCTGTGGTACAACAGAAGCCTGGGGGAGATTCATAAGAATGACTAGAAGTGTAGAAAATCTAATATGTGAGATTACAGGAGATCCAGATATGGTCAGGAATTTTAAAAAAGAAAGAGAACACATAATAGAAATTGAAGTCTTTATGTGTCTAGAAAACACCTATGAAGACAGAAGGAATAACATATTCTCTTTATCCGTGATGAAATTAAGAGGAAGTAGTATTTAAATTACTGTGAAGCAGAAAAGTCTGGCTTGACCAATATCTGCTGAATGCCATAGAGACTCATGTCATAGAGCTGAATGTCATAGGAGACATCTCAGATGACATTAGACATCTCTATGCAAGCTGATGAACCATCCCCTTAGAATCTGATGGCTATTACATCTACTTCTGTGTGATTTATACCAAGAGTTTATGCACCATCTGTATGTAGATATCCACATGAAAGCACCTGAAATGTAGTGTCTAATCTGTGGACTGAATCCTCCTCCTAAATATATGTTATCAAGGAATGCTAAGAAACCAAACAGGAATGGGGATATATAACATGCCTCTTGAAAGCTTCAAAATGCATAGCAGTCCAAGCCAGATGAGCAACCTGTTGTTAGGAGGAAGGTAGTCTTAAACGTTTGAAAATTAATTATTTGGCATATTCTGAAGGATCAATCTGCAGAGTACATTTCCAGTGAACTGAAGAACGTTCTCGGAAGAGCAGATTAATATAAGAATTCTGTAACTGACCAGCTCTCTTATCTTGTTTCATACCTGCATAAAACAGCAGGGGGCTAATCTAGTCCTGGAGCTAGATATTTCAGCTCACTAGTGTTTAATGAAATTGAAATAGGAATAAGTGATCACTTTTTACCAAGTGCTCAAATGTATGAAGGAGAAACCTTTGACTTCAGTTATTAAGTATTTGTTTTCACATCTTTGTTTCCAGTAGGTTTTTAGATTTAAATACTTTAGGCCAAATTCTGTTATCTCTCTAATATTTAAATTAGCACATGGCAGCAACAAGTTACATGAGATGGAAAGAAAGGTAAAAATCTTGTCCCTGAACAGCAGCAAAACATTTTTGAGGAAAAAAAAAAAAAAAAGTGTGCAGCGTTGGCAACTAGAATTTCCTGTTAATTAATCTCTACATGTACAGGGCCTTAACTGACAAATCATTATCCAAGCATAATCAGGCAGATATCAGTGTGTAATTGTTGAGCTTACAACCAAGAAATCCATTTTTATTAAATAGACTATACAAGGGCTGCTCTGAAAGTAATGCTTCCTGTTTTATTGTGTTGGTCCACAAAATCAGAGGCAGATGTTGGTGGTATAACAGTAGAGGTTGAACCATCCCACCAATATTCCATTACATGTTGTTGCCGTGTAACAGATAGCAGCAGAGGGGCAGTCTGGCACAATGACATCTGACATGGAAGTCACTGACACTTGCTGAACGTTTATGGAGACCAAACAGTGGATGTGAGCACAGTGAATCAGTGGGTAATGCCTTTCAGCAGTGGCAGCAGCAATGCGAAAGATAAGTGACGTTCCAGATGGCCATGCAGAGCTGTCACCTCTGCTGGTGGAGATTTTTACAAGCATGGCTTTCAGGCTTTTGTTCATTGCTGATGAAGATGCATAGCTAGCGGTGGTGACTATGATGAAAAATGATGTTTCGTAGCTGAGAATTTGCTCTGTCAAATAGTGTTATTGTGCTCTTTGTATGTGTTGCAGTTTCTATAGAAATAAATAGGAGACATTACTCCAGGTGTGACCTATGTACCAGATGATTCCTTTTTAGATAGGTAAAGATCTGGCTTGCAATTTTTGTTTCATGTAGGTTATGACCCATCCTGTTCAGTGAGCTTTAGCCTTCTTGTAAAGAGGGGTAAATAAACAGCTTCACAGCAGTGTTCCTTCTTTTAGGGTTTTGTTTGTTTGTTTGTTTCTCCACAGACTCCTTTCCTGTGGATTGTTTGCTGGAAGTGAGATAGGATACTAGGGATGGCAGTCTGGAGGTAGGGCCAGTAGATCATCTGTGAAGGCGTAAGAGAAATTAAAGTAATACAAACTTCCATAGTCTCTGGGAGGGCTACATAATGGAGAACCTTGCCTGCATGGTATCTAAAAATTAGGCTACCAGCTCATATTTCAGTTTCAACTTGAACTACACAAAGATCAAATCATTCTGAAAGTTCCTGAGATCCAGACCTCACAGTAAATTTTGAGCCTGGAAAAGCATCACAAAACAGCATGACGCTCTATTTACCTCTGGAAATGGAGGAAAGTGTCAACTCCAATAAGTAACTGTGATGCCAGCAAGACTGTTGATTAGACTACCCAGGAGCCACAAACTGCCTTGAACCTACTCTGAAACTTGCGAGACCGGGATTCTTTTTGATATGGTTTAAGGTGAATATAATTAATTTCAGTGTCTGCATTTGAATTAGATGTCTAAACTTCTATTACAGTTGATGGGAATCTAATCAATGGGAATACAGTCTGTAGACTCTGGAGACAAAATCAGTCCCCCAGTAGGAGCTTATTTCAGGAGTCAGTGAACTAATTCTTTAGGTTTCATTTACTAGATTGACTAGATGAACTGGCTCTCCTGTAAATGTAATTGAACCTTAGACACCTAGCTCACATATATGCAGCTCAAATCATTTACTTAATCAACTGTTTTTTGAAATAGAACTGAGCAGCCTTCTTAATTCCTACCTGCTGATCAAGAAGATGGGGCGATGTTGTATCCACCAAATGCAAAGTTTGACACTCTTTGAATGCTTCCACTGCCTCGAAACTCCATAGTATTCTTTCTGTTGCATGACCCAAAGCTTACCCATCAATAATGTGGAGAAGAGAAATCTGAAGTTTTCTATTCCTTCTTTTGCTTTCCTTCTCAAGAAATCCATAGTTCTTATATTCACAGTAAGATTTGGGTTGGAAGGGACCTTAAAGACCTTGCCATGGCAGGGACATGTCCCTCTAGAAAAGGTTGCTCCAAGTCCCATCCAAGCTGGCCTTGAACACCTCCAGGGGTCGGGCACCACAACTTCTCTGGGCAACCTTTGCCAGTGCCTCAGCACCCTCCAAGAATTTCCTCTTAACATCCAAATTAAAGCTCCGTTCTTTTACTTTAAAACCACTCCTCCTTGTCCTATCATTATCAGTCAGTCTCCATCTTGATTATAAGCTGCATTTAAATACTGAAACTCCACAGTGAGGTCTCCCCAGTTTTCTGCAGCCTGAACAAGTGCAACTCCTTCGACCTTTCTTCACAGAAGAGGTGCTCCAGCCCTCTGATCATCTTCATGGCTCTCCTCTGGACTCTCTCCAACAGTTCCACATCCTCCTTGCACTGGGGCTGACAGACCTGGTCACAGTACTCCAGATGGGGCCTCACAAGGGCCGAGTAGAGGGGGACAATTATCTCCCTTGCCCTGCTGGCCATTTGTGTATACATGGCCAAATGTTTCCCAGATGCAAAAATATGAACATAATTTTAAGCTAATATTAATTTTAAGATGTTTGTAAATTCTGATTTATTTCTGTCACATCTTGCATACGTTTGCAGCAGCATGGGTGGAATTTGTTCTAAGGATAAGAACAGGGTATGTTCAGAAATGCTTTTCTGCACTGTTGGTTTTAACTAGAGCTTTTAGGTGAGCTATTAGAAGTATCATATTTAAGACTAGTAACAGAAACACTGAAGACGTGGAACTGGTGTTGTGTGCATTCACATATCTTTTTCTTGTACAACTGCACTCAGTTTTTATCCTGTTTGCATTTGGTACAAGAAGTCACTGTTTTTTTTAATGTCTTTGTAAGTATATTAACTGTATTCAGTTAGATTGCAACTAATTTTAAAGTGCACAAATTTGAAGCTTAAATAATATAATGTTTGTTTTTTAAAAACTGGCATTGAGATTATTCATTATTTCATCATTTGTTCTGGTTGAAACAATATACATTGATTCTATAATACATAAATCCTGTGTATATTATGTACATATACATATGCATTTTTCAATTTTTTTATTAAAATATTTTTTGAAGAAAAATTCTGTTCAGCCTTAATGATTTGAGAGACCTTTGGAGGTGATCTAAAGGTTTTCATTCACTTGGATTCATTATATTTTCAACACTACAGGTAGCATGTTTCTCATAGTTCAGATGTAATTAAGGGGTATGATATCAAGAACAACTCTTCCACATAAATACCAAACTATGCACATTTAAGACTTGAAATTGTACAGTTAGATAAGCATTTTACATGGCGACCTAAGCATCTGTCTTTGAAAACTCACCAGTGCTTATCCATCTGTTCAGTAATTTAGAATAACTTACTCTCTTTTCTTCCCAAATACAAATTGCTTGGGTATCACTATATTCTCTGCAAGTTTTCTTTTAATACCAACCAGTAATACAGTGAAGGCATTTTCCCTACTGTTCTGCAGATGTCATAGTACCCCATAAAATGCTTTAGTTTCTACGGAAACTGAAGTATCTGCAAGTGTCTTTGCTTCAGCATAAATAACACTATTTTTCCTTCCTTTCTCTTAGGTGCCTATCCAAGACTCTCACTAAGCTTCAGGTTGAAGAGAAATATTGGATACTTTATTCTTCAAACCTACATGCCCTCCATACTGATTACCATTTTATCATGGGTGTCATTCTGGATCAATTATGATGCATCAGCAGCAAGAGTTGCCCTTGGTATGTGCTGAGATTGAGTGGGATATTAAAATGTCAGACTGAATGTAGCCTTTGGAAGTTGTTAAAGACTGCAACATGTTGTCAGTGTTTTGATATTCCAAAATCATTTACGTCAAAATCATGTCATTCAGTATTGCCTCAAAAGTGATAAGTTTTCCCCTGCATGCAAGAATGTATCTACCATTAACTCTCTGACATGAGCTGTTCATATGGATCCCAGACTTGTTTTCACCAAATTTAATGTTGTTGTCAGTAACTTTATCAAGGGGACCAGCTCCAGAATCATACACTAAGGGCTTCAGCGTGGGCTTTTAGTCCAGGCCAGTGTGGGAAGACAAGTGTAGCTCCAAGCCTCCACCTGAGGTCCTGACTGCTTTAACTGATAGTGGCAGGAAGGGACCTCAAGAACCATGTGCTAGTTCAGAGCACAGGGACACATCAGCTATGGACCATGACGTTCTGTCTCACCCTCAGAATGCATAGTGCACTGAGTGCATTTTTACGACAGCTTATAGTGCCATTTACCTCATGGCAGAAAAACATGGATTTAGCACAGGGTGATGATCCTAGTCCAAGACCTTTTCTGATCAAAGTATCCTGTAGATAAGAGTGGCTATTTTCAAAATATTTCACATGAAGTATTTCATCTGTTACAGAAGCATACTCACAGATAACTATAGACAAGAAAGATAAAATGGATCCATAAATAATCCTTATGATAACTCCTGCATCTTATCTCACTCCAAATTCTGTCTTCAACTGTGTTTTCCAGTGGCATATGCATTCTTACTCAAAACTTTACTCTTAGCTCATGCTATATAACTTCTCCTGTACTGTCTTCTCTTCTTAAAACTGGAGCATATTCCCTAGCTCCATTGTTTTCTTATATACCACAGCAAACCAATACTCCAAGACATATCCATAGGATACCTTGTCTCTCTATACTTTATCACCCAATATGTAATATACAGAAGGAGGGCAGCTGCAATTATACCCATGTATATGTATCTCATATAACTTCCTAGCATCTGAACTTTTATGCCTGAAAATATATTATACTAGCTGCAGTTACTCTATAGGTACAATAATTTTACATATTAAGTGGATTAGTTGGTGAATACATGTGTAGTATACACAACAGAGTCTGGCATTACCACTGAAGAGCCAATGCGTGTTCAGCATATTGCAGCTAAGTAGTAGTTTCATGGGAGGTGTAGTGTAGGGTCCAAACAGCTCTGTTGTATTCATAAATGAACTGCTGATACCAAAGATTTACCCTGGAGATATCATGACAGAATTAGGAAAACACTTGAATACATCAGTCAGCATCTGGATTTTAAATGCTGGCCAGAACTGCAATGAACAAATGGTTAGACAGAAGTTACCAAACCCAATGACATTCCATTTTTTCCTATAACAGGTTTACACATTTTTTTTCCTCATATAAGGGAAAAGACAGTCTCATGTGGTCTATTTGTCTGTAGCACAAGAGACCCTGGTTCATCAAGTAATATACTGTGATAACAGAAATATTTCAACAAAAGTCAGAGAATACATTCAAAACAAGCTCAAGAGCTCAGGTGTTCTATTTCCAAATGATAGAAAGTAATTTTGAGAGAATGACAATTCATCTAATAGATTTTTCTCAGAACACAATTAGTGCCTTGATGATTATATCTTGTATCACCTGATATTTGAGTAATAAAGTTCAGTACCATGGGCCTAATCCTTTGTTCTTTTGTGTAGCCATTTTTATGAGCTTGAAGCTGAGAAGAAATTATATTGAAGTTTAAAGGCAGTGTTTGCACCTTTGAACATACATAACTTGGTTCTGTACTGAACCAAGAAATTTCCTCAACAAAGAAACCCAGGCACAGAAGAAAGGATAGTTCATTCCACAGACTATGGGCAATAGACACTGCAAATAGAGGCTGATCCCAAGCTGATCTCAAGAGCTATATTCAAAACCATAAAATCTGGGGCACTGGTGCTCAAAACTCTGAGTTGTTGCTACTTAGCCTTAGAAGTTCCTGAATTAATTCCTCTGATTGAAGTCAAAGTAATCTTAAGAGTTCTCTCTTGACAAAGGCTGTAATCACGTGATTGTCTTATTTGGGTAGGTGATTTTCAGCTGCTCCTCCTCCTGCTGTGTTTTAAAGTAAATTGTTGATCTTCAGAAGGGGGATTTTGATCCTACATGACTATTGGTATTGCCTGCAGGGTGCCAGGATGTAATCCTGGGAGATGTATTTCCTTTAAATTAGTGGTGATCACCCTTCTATTCAGTGCGCTTAATCTTCTGGCTCTCTCAAAGAGCTTCTAAAACTCTCCATGCGGTGGTTAAGGAATTATTTCTGCAATCTAGACAACAGCTGGGAACAGACACTAAAAATGTGGGTATTAATTACTCATCTGTGTGTGCTTCTGAGTTGCTTGTTGATCAAGGCTTTGGTAAACATTTGCGAGATGACAGTGCAATGTCAAGAGTGTATTAAAAGAGGAAGTTGTGGGATTTCTGATATAAGATACAGTCTTAGGTAATTTTCAGAATCCTTATGGGAAGCAATTGCATGTAATCCTACAAGGGAAGAAGGTAATTCAGGCTAGAGCAATCCCTTGGGCTGCAAATATGCGATAGTGTTTGCAGCCACCCTCTAGACTTCTCACCCATTCCATGTGCTGGCAATGAGGTTTTTCCACAGAGCTTGGTAAAATTTCTTCTAAAATAATCCCAATGTATCAGATGCTGTCTTCATTTTACTGTGAGTTAGGTGTGTTGCACACAATACAATTTTTAAATAAGCCTGGGCTGCATATCACAGAATCAATCATAGAATCATAGAATGGTTTGGGTTGGAAGGAACCACAATGCCTATCCAGTTCCAACCCCTGCTGTGGGCAGGGACACGTATCACTAGACCAGGTTGCTCAAAGCCCATCCAGCCTGGTCTTAAACACTTCCAGGTATGAAGCATCCACAACCTCACTGGGCAGCCTTTGTCAGTGCTTCACCACCCTCTGAAAAATTTTGTCCTAATATCTAAACTAAATCTCTCCCCTTTTAATTTAAAACTTGACCCCCTTGCCCTGTCATTATTGGACCACATAAGAAGTCAGTCTTCATCCTGCTTGTAAGCTCCCTTTATCCACTGCATTTCAAGCAACAAAACATCATACATCAAAACAAACTTTTTTCACAGTTTAGAGGAAAATGTGCATGATGCTAACCTACTAAATATAAAAAATATCTGTTATAGAACCTCATAGGGTACTGCAATTCCTTGGGGTAACACTGCTTTTACCAGCAGCTTGATTTTGAGTTATATTTGTCTTGTTTATATTTGTCTTTATTTCTGTCTCTTCTGTTAAAAGAAACTGTGGTTTGTAATATGCCAGTATCTTTGTTGTTGTTTATTTCTGCCAGCATTTTATTGATTACTTACAAACTAAAGGAATAATTATAAGATCAGAAAAAAAATAGTAAAGGAGGGAGACCTATTAAAATGGTTTGCCTCTTTTACCAATGTAGACTTATTCCAAAAATCAGTGTTTTCAGCCTTCTGTGATTTTTGATTCCCATAAAATTTCCAGATACAGAACCTGCAATTTCTTGTGAATTTGAGCTGACAATAAATTTGCTGTTCTTACCAGGCTTTCAAAACAGTGCTCTGGTAATATATTTTGGGTGCTATGTCCATCCTCAAATAAATGAGGATTTGACATACCTAATAGATCTTCTGGGTACTTCATTTATGTCCAGTAGATCACTATAAAAATGCTTCTCTCCCTTCTTGACTTTTTCTTTCCTCAAATCTATGTACCTGTCTGTCTCTCACTGCTCATCTCACTTCTGTCTAGCCAGGTAGAAATTAGACTACTGATCTAAACTAGGGCTCTCAAATTCCTCTTCATGAGCTGACTACATTGTCTGATACTGAAATAGGTGTCTAAAGTAGATAGGATGAACTGCTCTAGGGCAGTGCCTTTCTCTCTCTGTCTACTCCAAAGGGACCCTACAGGGCTGACTTCAACCAACTGCTTAACTCTTAGAAATTCAATTCTGGATGATAAATGTCTTTACAGTCCCTCTGCCTTAATTTGTTCACATGGTTTTGTCTATCCAGATCCCTAATTAGTTCTGTTATTGCTTTAAAGAATTGTCTCTGTGGTGTTCGTGGCTAACGCAGAGCTGGAAGAGCACACATTTTAGTGCTTTGCGGAATGTTTCCCTCCTGTTGCAGGTCAATTTGTTCATCCCAGAGATATTCTCAGTACAGCTACAGTGGCTTTTCTGAAGCTGTATTAATTCACTGTGGTGGCGACAGGGACCCTTGTTGATTATTTCCCCTAGCTGTAGAAGGAAATGTTGTAATAGAAGAGTAATGCATCAAGCTTTAATTTTGCCTTTATTTGTAGTGTTGTCACCTGAGAGACTGCTTTCACAAATTTTTAAGCTTCTTCGCACTGACAAGGGAAATTTGCCAAAAAGGAAAACAAAATTGAAGCATTATCCACTTAGGATATGTAAGACGTGTGCTCTTTTATTTCTTTGTCTAGGAATTACAACTGTGCTGACTATGACAACAATCAACACACATCTGCGAGAGACTTTGCCTAAAATTCCCTATGTTAAAGCCATTGACATGTATCTTATGGGCTGCTTTGTATTCGTCTTCTTGGCCTTACTTGAATATGCCTTTGTCAATTACATTTTCTTCGGAAAAGGCCCTCAAAGGCAGAAGAAACTTGCGGAAAAAACAGCAAAGGCAAACAACGATCGCTCAAGGTTCGAAGGCAGCCGGGTAGGATTCTTTATTTATAGTCTCTTCTTTCCTTTATTACAAATGCTAACTGTATGGAATAAACAAAAAAAAAATCTGTGTAAAAACATCACCAACCACATCTCTTCAGCATTTTTGTATTCAATTACCTGCAAAGAGGAATATATAGTTAAGCATGCAGAAATCTAAGTGAGTATGATCTGTATGACAAGGAACTGTAAGAGGAAAACAATACTAATGCAGCTAGCTTGAAACTAAAGGCCCAGACCTACAAAAGCCTTTATATGCTTAAATCAAGTACAGTTTAATTTGTATTCATGCAAGGGAATCCCGCTTCTGAGCATACTTTTTCTCACTTCCTTTCAAGCAGATGCATTTAGAATGGGAATAACCAGATAAAGGATTAGATCTGCTCATGCTAACTAATTGGTCAGCAGAGCTGAAATGCTGTGTGTGTGGCAAAATCATCTACTGCTAGCAAAGGCCAGCAGAAAATTATGCTTCCCAGAGAAACTTTCAGATGGCTTTCTGAATCATAGCATTGCTATGGTCAGTGCTGATTGCACTCCATCCTATTTCCTCCCCTTAAGTATTACTTTGTGCAAAAAATATCCCTTTTGCTCATTTGAAATAAAAAGTCAAGATATCCAACGCTATATGATATTAGCAAACTATGTCAGTTTCAACAGAACATATTATTTTGGCTAAAATGCTCCCAATGAGACTTTTTCGTTCAGTTCAGTTGAGTAAGACTGTAGTTTATTTTTTCTATTAGCTATAGATTAGAAGAGCTCGCTGTGACAAAAATACTACCTATTTATTAAACACTGGTATCATAAAGTCATTTCAAGCTGTATTTTATTATTCCGGTGATCCTGTCTGCCATAATAACTATAATGCAGAACTCCACATAATTATTGGCAGTCATATATGTGAAATAGTTTTTGAAGCAATAAATTCATTTTTGTCCATTCTATTATGGAACCAAGATCTCATCACAGTTGGCAGCATTGCCTAGGACTAAGCTAGCAGGAAGATTGAATTCCCTTTTCTGGAAAAATAAGTAGTGATAATAATAAGAAAGCAAATGGAAGAAAAAAAGAATATCACAACTGAAAGCAATAGAGAAGATTTTAGCTGCAAGCAGGTAATGCAGATGTATGCCCTAAGGTTCTGTTTTCCCAATGAAAACCATCTAGTGAATCTCATCCATTTAAATGATTTATAGAATTCATTAGTTACTCAATACCATCCAATGCCTGACTGTTCTTCAATAAAGAGTTCAATTAGTCTGTATTGTCAGAAGTAGTCTAAGTTCCTTAATGAATAAAAAGGTGTTATTTTAATACCCACATAGCATCATTTTTATATACCAGACCTGGTTATACCTTATACATCAACCTTTCTACCTCACTTTTTTCTTTTCTTTCTGGACCATCCTAAGCAAATGCAGTGCACTGTTCTGCTGGTTTAATATTGGTCAAGCATGAGCTGAACATAAGACATGAGCAGTATGACAGAACTGAAAGAGCATAATGCTGCTTTGTCACTTGGAATTCCAGATGTGAAAGGGAAATCTGTATACTTCTACTTCATACTGTCTGTGAATATTTGCTATTTAAACACATCAGTGATAAATAATGAAGTGTGGTCAGCTTCAGCTGGTGAAGTCCACAAAGCTTTCCTGCAGTTGCTGGATTCAGTGTCTTAAGAGATGTAGTGCCAATGTATGACCAGAAATTACATGAAATAGATCTGATCAGAAGTCTTCCTTTTGAACAAGAAATAGATGGAAAATGCACATTCAGCAAATGTCTTCTCTTAATTTCTCATTTGATAAAACACTAGCAAATCCAAGGCAGAGGAGATTGCTCAGAGCAGATCAGAGATCCCATTGCTTTTGGGATGTGCAGCTCAGGGAAAATATATATCGAACAAAGATTACCAGGATTGTCAGAGATCACAGCCCTGAAGCAGGAACACACCCTCCACAGTTCTGGATTACACCCACTCTATACTATGCTGTATAGGCATCCGACAATGTAGGCAAGTCAGGTGGTCATGCTGGAGTTTGCCAAGGAAGACTACCTGAAAGCTTTGCAAACTCTTCAAGGGACTCTGAAGAGGCACTGAGTGCAAACTTCAAATTCAGTGAGTCTTGAAAATTGGTGAGTGTGATGGAAATTATGGCTTCTTGGCACTTGCTTCTTGCTTTATAGCTGGGCTGGATGTCCTGGGAAGGGCTCGACTGTCAGCAACTTTTGTTACAACCCTTACTATCTGGTGACTGTAAAAATGTGTGAACAGAGGTTGAAAAGGTTCTAGATATAAAACTGGAAAAATACATTACTTTCAGTTTGTCTCTAAGACTACCACTGTGGGTTGACCTCTCTGTTTTGGTTTAGTCATTGAATTTGCTTGTAATGAACCATATGCATGAGCTCTCTGCCATTGATTTAGAGTCCTAGCTCAGGGCACTTGGGAAAAAGCGAACGAACAAACAAACACAGAAATAAACAAATGATGGTCTAGTAGTAGACTTCTGAAAACTCTTTCTTGGAAACCTCAATCAGTTGGTTCATATATAAGAACAAGCTCTGGGAAGAACTGGGTCTTGATTTTTCTTAAAAGTTCCCTCTACCTATGGTATCAGTGCCTAAATTAAAGTCTTCTGTTTGTGGAAAAATTGACAGCAAAGAATAGGTGGCCTGTAAAAACAGGCAGCCTGTTTTCCTTTGAAAATTGATCATTATTGTTATGGATCAATTCTGTTTCTCTTGTTTCTTTTGGCAGATTCTGGCTTCATTTGTAGCTGTCTGTGCATTTTCAGTTTTACTACATAAGTTGTTTATTTTAAATAAGACTCAAATACAGCCTAATTTACAACTAAATCAGCATGAGATAGCTCTAAGGCAATCCAGTTCTCACTTTTTGTTCTCTCTTGTGATAGAGGCCACTGGCATAATCAGCTGGTGAGCATGTGTTTTGGACATTGCTCCTTCTGGGCCAATCCATAGAGGTTATGATTTGTTACAGTCCCCTGCTAAAAATACTTCTTCTTAGCTCATGCTGTGGCAATTTATGTTTTCAGTTTGGTGGGTCCAAAAGTTCAGCCTCTGGGTATCAATCAAGAGGGTAGCTATCACACAAGCTCATTCAAGCTTCAACCCCCTGTGGCTCTCAGACATATGGGAATAGCTTCCTTTGAACAAAATAATACAAAACCCTTTGTAAAAAGGCCCTTCTAGCCAGCAGTTGCTGCATGGTTTTTTAGCTCCAGAGGTTCCCAGTTCAGACTCTGATTGTTGGCCAAGGCAACGCTGCCCACCAGCCACTACTGAGGATGGAGGCCACTTTACATCTACTTATTGCTTTTAAAGCATCATGAATGGTAGCAACTGTTCTCACAAGTGGGATTTTCTTCTTAGAATGAGTGCTTCTTAGCTTCTATGGTAGAATTATCACTCTGTCTAAATTGGGAAATATGAGAATAGCAAAACTGGCAGTATACTCATGTGCATCTTCATCTTTTCTGGATGGTTTTTTTTTTGGTGCTGTTTTGAAGAGTGGGATATTTCTGAAGCGTGAGTGTGATGAGTAGGTGCCAAGTTTTGAAAAATATCTCTCAAGGGTGAGAAACACAGTTCCTGTGAGAAGAGCCCTAGTTCTGTAGTGTTTATGACATTCATTGTGCACTGAGGGATCATGTGTGTACAAACTTAGTTCAGATACAACAAGGATGACTGTCAAACTCCATCCTTACTTGATTATCAGTAATATTGGATTGCAACTTTCTAGCTTTCCTTATTCTTCATACTTTCTTTTATTTTCAAGATCTTTCCATCTTCCCAGTTCTGCTGGCTACCCTAGCTTCATCTACTATGTCGACAGCAATTTAACTGTCTCTTTCATTTATTTTGATCCTCTTAATTAATATAAGCAATTTTATTAAAGTAGTAAGGTATCAACTTTTAGACTCAGTGAGAATAATCAACAATATCAATTTTATTGTGCTTGCAGTTTAAATTATTTTTAAAATGTCTCAGGCATAAGGTAGTCAATCAGTGTTGCTTGAAGAACAGATAGCACTCAAGGCCTGGTCTCTGACGTGTTAGAAAGTCATTCACACATAACTAAAGAAGTTGAAAGCTGTAGTGTACCCCTTGTGCTTTCACCAGGCAGACGAGGTGACAATCAGGTAGCTAGATTACAATTACTACCAAAAGTAATTTCTATTTTATAGTTATAAGAGGAGATCTATTGTGTGGGGTAATGTTACTGAATAGTAATTTTGATGTAAAATAGCCCGAGACTAATAAAGAGACAGCTTTTCTTCCTCTTATTTAAACCTGCTATTTGCATTTATATTACTTCATATAGTGGAAAATATTTACACAGCATTTAAAAATTTGGGATTGATGAACTCCTAAATGTACCTATGGGTTTAAGCAAAATGCTTCCACTGTTTATTTTTGTATAGTAGAGTGAAAGACTTATGAGGAAGAACAGAAGGAGTAAAGTACTCCTTAAAATTTATGGAATATTAAACAGAGAACTAAATGAACCCAAAGTAATTCAGACACTGTCTTACTGTAAATCAAGCTGTTTCGTAGTTTCCTGACCCTAGTCAAGTGTTTTCAAACTGACATTAAAACTAAAGTTTTCCAAGAATCTTAATTAGAGGAAGGTATTTAATAGCAGCTCTTTTCATTCATCTATTTAAAAACATAATATTTAACATCTAAACAAGCCAGTATGTTGTTGCCTAGAGGTAAGAAGTAAATGGTGGAGTTTCCAGGTATGAAAGAAGTTTCAAATCTACAATGTGCTATCCTAGTTGAGTCTATTGGTGAAGCAGAGTTCACGCAAGAGTAAGACCACAGTTTCTTTGTGAGCCATCTGCTAATTTTCCTCTTTTAACTTCAGTTACTTCATTCTTCTGTGATGATATATGGCAGTTAGAGTTTTTTGGATTTTCTTAATCTGCCGTGTAATCTGTTTAGTTTAATCACAGAACCATA